ACCATACAACCTAGGGTGGGTGTTAAGGTGCTAGTTTTGAAATTATAGGTTGGTCCAGGGTGTATGGAGGCTGGCTCGGGGTTCTTCGGTCCCCTACAATTTCTTCACCCGGGATCAGGGTTTGTGGTTTGTATAAAGTTGCAATTTAGACAATCAAAGTAAGGTGCACCTCCAATTTTATCACAAGATATAATTATGTTATAAAATATTCTAAGGATAGCTAATAATCTTTTCTTATCTCTAATTATAAAATTTTAAATTCTAAAAGTAGTTCAAATCAAGTAGATCTTCAAAATATATGGTATAGTTAATATGTTGCAATGTGCACTATTGTTGGGATTTGAAATCTTTTATTTTTATTTTCATTTCCATACATCTCGATGTCGAGAGGATCAATTAGAAGGTCTTCCAACATCAAAACAACCTTTTTTTTATGATTTTTTAAGTGCACTTTAATTCTGTATTTTAAGGTTGCAACCTTATATAAATATTTCCTTTGGATTTTATTGTTCTTATTTTTTAATAGGTGGAGTCTATATCTTTTTTTTGTTTTTGTTTTTGTTTTCCTTTTTTTATTTTTGGTATTATTTTATTATTTAGTGCATTTTTACCGTGAAATGAATGTGCAGCACTCAAATTGGACAAGAATCTCAATATATACACAAATTTGATAATTCTATCGAATTACATAATGTAGTAAAATATTTTTCAGACTATATTTTGATTTTTAATATCGTTTTGATAGTTCTTGAATTTTTTATTATCTCAGAATGGACAGGTCATCTGAACCGATCTATATCGCTAGTTTGCCAAACAGTGTTCGCAAAACCGAGCAATCTAACCGCTAACCGTCCGGTTAAATGGGAACCGACAAGTGGTCGGTTCTAGTTTTGGGCGGTTTTGGTGATCAACCGGTATTTAAAAAAAAAAAAATGTATATAAATTTCTAAAAATAAGGAATTTGATTTTAATGTATTTTTAAATATTCTTTACATTTTGGTAAAGATTAAACATTGTTTTGGTCATTAATAGTCACTTTTATATTTTCCCATCTTTTTCAGAAAAGTTTAAAAATATGCCTAGGCACAAATCGATTTGTTGAAATCCATTTTTTTCATTAATTTTCAACTTCATTTGAATGTTTTTTGTTTTAATCGTTCTTTTTATGTTTTTCATATTTTCGTAGATTTTTTTTGTATCTTTTTTTATTTTTTTTCAACACTTTTTTGATCGCTCAGGACTTGCCCAATTAGAATGGTTGAATCGGCTGGTTTATCGGTTAGGCCGTTTAAACCGCTTCCGGTCCCATATCTGGTTAACCGTTCCGGTTCAATTTTGTGAACATTGTTGCCAAGTGATTGGTTGAGTTGCTGAGCTGACTTTTGAAATAAATGTATTATACAATTGGGAAAGTATACAACAAGACCATTTACTTCTAGCAGCGTTCAAATGAACGACTCGGGCTACTCGGCCCATGCCTGAGCCAAGTAGTCGACCCGAGTTGGGCCTCACACTGCAACAAAAAAAAAAGTGTTACAAAATTAAAATATAAAAACCAAAAAATATGTGTTTAAAATAAAATTAAACAAAACACATATAAATAAGGTAAAAGAAGTCGAGAAAAATAGGTTTTGAAAAACCATCTTGTGACGGGGTATTTTTAAAATAACTAAAAAAGATGGAAAAATAAATATTCATGGCCAAAATACTTTTCAAACTTTGCTAAGATAATATAACACATAAACAAACATGTTATAAATAGATTTTTTATTTTTTGAATTTTTTATAAACGTTTAATTATTTTTAAGATCCCTAAGTTGGACCTCCTACTCGAGACAACTCGGGCCCCGCTACCCGAGCCCGAGTAACTTGAACTTGGCTAATTTTTCAAACATCGACTCCTAGCACATTGATCCTTTAGCATTCAAATGGGTAATTATGAGCATGTTATTAATTAGACTCCAATTTCAAAAAGAAAGTTATTGTGGCATATCCCATCACATCCAATGGTTAAGAGTAACTCTCATCTAAGAAAGATACATGATATCAAAGTACGTAATCCTTGTCCAATTAATGTGCTATGTGTAGCGGTAATTTACCATTCCAAAAATAAAGTAGGCATGAATGGTTCCTTGTCCGTGTTGAGGCCAGCCCATAGCAGTGAGCCCCAAGACTGACTAAGGGAAAATGCAAAAAATACTGCAGTTTTATGAATCGATATAGCGTGAGAACAGGTCAAGTTGGGTAGTCCCAAACTGACTCGATTAAGCTTCATACGGATCCGATTGGGTCCTTGTGGCTTGGACCCAAACCTGGGTAGAGAAATTAGTTTTTTTTTTTTAATATACTATATTGTATAGTGGGAAAGTATTGAATGAGACCATTTATTTTTTCTATATAGTAGTCACAGTGATTTTGACTATAGAATGTAACGTTGAGCAGTTGCAATTATCCCATTGACCAAACTCAAACTTCAAAAGAAATTTTTTTGAATTTTGTGACACATTCAAGCTATCAAATTTCATATCAAAAGATTGTAAAGAATTATGACCACTTTGTATCAAAGATAAATAGTTTCATTGGATACAATTCTTTATATATTTTCAAAGTACTTTATAATGGGGTCGAGTCAAGTCCACCCTAACTCAAATTCAACCCAATCAAGTAGGATCTATGCCGGAACCCATCTAGGATCAATCCACCGTGTCCAAGCACGACCCAGATCCGACGCAATTGCCACCCATCTCGATGTTATCCAACTAGGGACAAAAAAAAAAAAAAAGTAAAGATTTCCCTAGGAGAGTAAAAAAAAAAAAAAGGGGAAGAGAAATGTTTATATAGAGCCGAGGCTCTAAACCATCTACTTAGAACCTACCTAAAAAATTCCATTAAAAGATGTTTTTATTCCCAAGTATCCTCAAATCGATCATCTTGACATCAAGATGCACAGACATAAGAAAAAAATGGATTTCAAGTTTTGAAAATAATATATTTTGTAATGTATTTTTGGACCGTCATTCGAGTATTCATAGATTCGTCGATCTACATTATTTTATCAATTTTAAATTTTATAAATAAAAATAAAAATATATTTTAAGACTATCACAAAGATTTTCAATATTGAAACCACATTTTTAAACACTATTTGAGGGTAGGCTCTTGTATAGAGCCTAGGCTCCATACAATTTGCACCCAAAAAAAGAATCATCCAAACCAGTGTTTTAAAAATCGGCGAGTCGAGCCGGACTCGCCCGGTTCGACTCGGGATCCGACCAGCCCGTACCGGTTCCATCATAAAATCGAGAACCGCCCGGTTCTAGAGAGAACCGCCCGGTTCCCATCCGGTTCAGCCGGTTCACGCACGTGCTCTCGTTCGTCCGTGTGCGCTCACACGTGCAAGGTTGCCGATTCACTGTATAGAATCGGATGGTGACGTCATGTCTCGGCACGTATGATGTTTTCAAGGGTAATTGGGATATTTGTCTTAAAAAGACAGGTAATTTTCGATATTGTTGGACGGCAGTACCACAATCATATATAACCACGTGTTACCCCATGTACCGTTCGCTCGCATGCTGTTGAAGAGTTCAACCTCACATCTTTTATAAACTTGGAAGTCGCTTGATATTTCCGATGTGGGACAATTCCCACTTGCCTTCAACAGCGTGCAAGCCATCGTCACACAAGCTATTAATTATTGCAAGCCATTATCCATATGTGTAGCGTTTTAATTTAGCGTGTCAAATTAATAGCACTAATAAACGGCTATATAAAATTAAAAAATAAATTAATAGCACTCATTAATTTAGTGTGCCAAATTAAAAAATAGCCATATAAATTTTTTCGATGTTTATTATTAAAATAGTTTTTTCGATGGGTTTTAATACAATATTTTATTTTTATTTTTATTTTTTTGTAGCTATTGTGCATATTGCCGATAGGATTTTTTTTTGAATTTTGGCATCTTTATTTTTCATTTTTTTGGGTAAAGTTATTTTGAATCTTTTAATATAATTACATTAGAATTTATTGGTGGTTTTATTTTTAATTTTAGTCATATGATATGGAAGCATCTTCTAATAATTTTTTAATCACTTTTCAATTAGATAATATTCTAAAATATTTTTAATTTATTATTATTTGTCTAATAAAATAATTATAAAATGTAAACTAATAATTATAATTTCAGTATATAATATTATAATTAGTTAAGTTGTAATAATTTTGGATTATAGTTAGTTAGGTTGTAATAATTTAGGTTTTTTTAGCGGATTAGGGTTTTTCGCCAAAACAAGATTTTAATGGCCATTCCTTCATTGATTAGTCTACACTTTATAATAGTCCATGTATAATTATATTTTTTATCCATGATAATTCTATGATTTTTTTTTATGTGATGCAAATTTAATATTTAATTTAAGTTTATACAGGGAAAGAGCATCTCAATATATACAAATTGATGAGAAAAATGAAAGTTAATAATATAGTACCCTCATTTCTTATTGGATTCTTAAAAAACAACATTTATAATGAATTTTAATCATTTTTTCGGATTTTTTTAAAGCTTTAATCCTACCGATTCAGTCGATTTCCGATCCGAATCGTCGATTCATCGATCCAAATCGATTTTTGAGATGTCCGATCCGGGTCACCGATCCGCTTTTTAAACCGTTGATCCAAACTATCTAAAACAAAAGGTGGTGGAATGGATGACGGCGCCTCTCGCAAGGCTCTATTGGCCAGCACCGTCACATAACAGCTGTCTGCTAGTTCACTTGCGAAACGCGGAAACACCAAGCTCTCTCTCTCTATCCCCTGAAACGCGAAAATACGAAGCTCTATCCCTCTCTCCCTAACATTTTCTCTCTCTAAACTTTATGCCAACAACTTACCAAGCCCAGTTGTGACCAGCCATTCCACCCTGCTCCCAGTCATAACTCTCCATGATTGCTTCCCAACATATTTCCTCTTAACTTTAGCTCCTCACTATAAAAACCTAACAACTCTCCATACAATAACACCATCCCTTGTTGAACACTTCCTCTCTCCCCTTAAACACTGTTGCCCCTCTTCTTTCAATGGCTTCCTCTCTGTCTTTAAGACTGGTTATTTGGGGTCTTTTGGCTGTGGCCTCTATGGCCAATTTCTACTCAGATTTTGACATAACATGGGGAAACGATAGGGCTAAGATATTAAACAATGGTGAGCAGCTTCACCTCTCACTAGATAAATACTCTGGCTCTGGTTTTCAATCCAAGAATGAATTCCTCTTTGCGAACATCCATATGCGCTTGAAGCTCGTACCAGGCAACTCTGCAGGCACTGTTACTGCCTATTATGTAAGTCCTCCCCCCTTCCCTCTCTCTCTCTCTCTCAATCAAGCCCTAATTTTTTCAGTTAGTTCAGACTTTAGAGAGAGAATCAATTACAGTGAGATGATGGATTTTGATGTTGGGTTGTTGCAGTTATCTTCACAAGGCCCCACCCATGACGAAATCGACTTCGAATTCCTGGGGAAACAGGGAGCAACAGTTCCACTTATGGTTTGATCCAACCAAAGACTTCCACACCTACTCCATCTTGTGGAACCCAAACCACATCAAGTAAGAACTCTTTCTCTCTCTACACACTCACATTCATCTCTCTC